GTCAAATTTAGCAATAAAACCTGGTGAACTAGTTTAGTGAAAAGTCTTTTCCTATGCAAAGGGTAGCAAACAATGAAACTAGGCCTCAACTCATTCACACCATGTGGTCAATGGTCGATTAAAATCCACATGGTCAGACAAAAGGTAAAGTATATATATATATTTTTTTTTCTATATACAAATGACCAAAGATTGGTAACAAGCAACACAATAATTCATCACTATGTTCTATAACAAGAGATACCTTAAAAACAAATATCTAATCCCTATCTGCTATCTGCATTCATTCCATTAAAACCAAATCATCATTCATTTATTCATTTGTATACAGACAGACAATTTACTGTATTATTTAAGCAAAATGCATAACATTTATATTTTTCCCCAATATTCAAGCATAATCCTGCCGACTACGCCAAATGTTGTGGTCGTGACCTAAATATGAATATTAATCTCTTAATACATAATAATTAAGCAATACGGAACAACATTAATATTTTTATAATTCATGGTATTATGGTCTAATATGTGGATAGAAAATACACAAAACGTTGTAATATTAAATGTATATTTAATATAACTATAATAAATAAACAGATGCTAGCAGAATGTCAATTTACTACAATAATGATACAATACAAAACTACAACATATTACTTACAAAAGGTTGCTAAAAGGCTATTACAATTGCTAAATGTTACAATGGATTCATTTTACTTACAAGGCCCCAGCCCTTTGGCTGGGGTTAAGTCAGAGCTGGTACTACATCTTAGGTTCAGTCAGTTACAGGCAATGAGACAGAGTTTTCTCCTACATCTGTTTTTTATTCAGTGTAAGTAGGCTGGCCTGTGATGTCACTGCCAGAAGCACATGTCTTCCTACACACTCCCCCTAGTGGTGCCCCCAAAGCATTACACTAAATATGATTTCTTTATGATGTAAAGTCAATAATTAATAAATACCATTACAATGATATAAACTAACAATTTAAACAAATGACGATTTTAACGAATGGATTAACCTGACGTAATGTAAACGAACGGAGTTAGACGTACGGCATAATAAGGTGAACAGAGGGAGCCAACCCCAGCTTTTGTTAGGCCCAAACATGGGAACGCCGTGAACGGTTTCCCACGTGTACATGAGCGTGCTGCGTGTCACACAGATGACTAATAGGTAACATATTACCGGGCCTTAGAATGGCCGGACTTAACGTACCAAAGAATAGTCAGGATACTTGCCGAGGTCAGGGGATACAGAAAGAGACACAACAATAAAAGAAAGCCAGAAGTCAGGGATACAGAATACATGGAAGTCAAAATCAAAGCTAAAGTAAAAAAATGGAAGAAACTTGAACCAGGAACGCTCTCTTGGACAACCACAAGGGAAACCTTAACATAACATGAGCATATCAGGACAGGCCCCAGGGAGAGTGTGCAGCTTAGTGGACAAGGGCACATGTATGAGTGTGGGATGGATGATGCATGGTTGGCTGTATTCTACATGTATGAGTGTATGATTGGCTATGTGCTACGTGTGGGAGTGTGAGATGTAAGGAAGTGGGTGGTGACAAAACAGACTGACCTCAGTGCCACTTAGGAGCAGGGCCAGAAACAAGTTTCCTGTGATCTTCCTCCTCCTGTTGTTTGGGCCTGTAGGATATTCAGCCTGTGGCATGGACATTGAGGCTACCTTGTCTGCCCTCGGGGCTAGTGCAGCAGTAGACGGTGGCCGGCAGCTCTGCGAGCAGTTTGGGCACCTGCTCCAGGCACAGCCACAGCCACCTGGAGATGTGGCTCCCCCTCCCAGCGCTGTGGCTCCTCCATCCAGGGCCAGTGCAAGGATTTTTGCCGCCCTAGGCAAAAGAAAAGTTTGCCACCCCCCCCGTGACATCACAAAGCTCCATTTTTGGGGGGCCCTTTACACAGCTCAAGGTCTGGGTCCCAGGGTCAACCTTCATGTTCCACCAATGAGTTTGTTCACAGGGGGTGGAGTGTGTAGGGGATGTCCTGATTTGTGTGTAAGGAATGCATTGTGTGAATCTGTGTTTGTATGTGTAAGGGCTGCAAGGTGTGTTTCTGTGTATGTGTATAAGGGATGAAGTGTGTGAGTCTGTAAGGGGTGCTTTAAGTGTGTTTAAGGGGTGCATTGAGTGTGTGTAAGGAATGCATTGTGTGTTTCTGTGTGTGTAAGGGATGCATTGTGTGTAAGGGTTGCATTGCGTGTGTGTGTGTGTGTATAATGCATTGTGTGTGTAATGCATTGTGTGTTTTTCTGTGTGCAAGGGGTTTGTAGAATATTGCATATTCTATGTTTCTATTGATTATATATATGGATGTGTGGATTGACATAAGTAACAGATGGTATCAATAAGTCACAAGGCTTTCTTTGTCCGAGAGCTCTGGAATGTGGATGTGGGGGTTTTGTCCTTATATGGCTAGAGTTATATGCTGATGTTAGTATTAGCACATCTTTATAGTAACAGAGGGACACGAGGTCGCTCTCTGTCTTGGCTCTTGGCTCTGTACAACGATGTAACTCTCCCATCAGAAGTCCAGCAATTACCATCTGCTGTTGAATGTCTATAATCCTGTAACATCATTTATTATGCTTTATTATGTATCCGTAACAAAGAATAAACCGGAAGAAACCGTAAGTCAGATTGCATATTACTACTTTTCAATAATATAGACATATATTATTGTGGCGAGCATTTGGCCCAAGATTATATATACAAAAGACGTATATATATCAATCAACTGAAGATAAGAAGAAATTAAGAAAGAGTCTACATTAACACCCAATTTCATCTACATTTTTTACATTGGCTAGCCAGCCAGTCTTCTATTCAAGTTTTGTTCCCACTTCAAGGGGGGAGAGAGAAGAATCGAGTTACAAAGCTATTTTGGAACTGGGAAAACAAACTTGAAGAGAAAAAAAAGAATCTAGACTGTGGTTTGTAGGAAAAAGATTTTCAAATCACAAAGACTGTACAAGACTATTTTCTACAACTGAGACAAAAAGCACAAGATACAACGTGAATTCTAGAAGCAAGCACGTGGCAGAGATTGTCAAATGTCCAGAATCAAGCGTCCAGAACTGCGCAGCTGTGTGGATGAAGCAACGAAATAGACAGAAATAACTGATCTGGTGAGTAACATGGAATTCATAAATGATGTTGCAGAGAAAAGTAAATTGCAGTTTGCATGTAATAGCAGATATTCAGATGCTGTATTGTGGCAATCTTTATACACACAATGTGAAATTGCCAATAGTGAAATTGACAAGAAATTGTTTGTTAATAAGAAAAAACAAAAGATCAGAAATGTTATGAAACTAGTCTGTACTTACAATGCATTGATTTGTAAACGAAATGCAGGTCAAGACAATTTAGAATCAGCAGAAAAAGAAGTAGATTTGAATGGGTTAACAGAAGACAAATCAGATTTAAATGAACAGTGTAACAATGTAACAGAGATAACATTGTCAGAAAAAGTCTGTGAATTAAAGGATAGAGTTGAACTAAGAAATGATCTTATTTGCCAGCTTAGAAATGAAGTTAAACTAGTGTGTGTTAATACAAGAAACATACAGGCACAGAATCTAATCCCAGAAGCAATAGATACTGAAAATGTATCCTCACAGAATGATTTTGCAGAAATGTTGGAAAAACTAAAACCACACAAGGGGGAGGATATATTTAGTTTTCTTGTAAAATTTGAAAGTGCATATAGACTTGTTGCTGATTTTTCTGAAGATCAGTTAATTAATGAATTTGTGAAAAAAATTCAAGATCTAGATCCAACTGCAATTGTGTTAGCTAGAGAAAAAAGCACTTTGACAGAAGTAGCTTTGTTCTTGGATAACTTAAGGAGGGAAACCAAGAATGAAGGGGTTAAAACGACTTGTGGATTTAGGCAGAGAAAGAAGTGCAGATGTTACAGCCCCCGTCCCCCTCCTTCTTCTTCTTCTAGGACAGAGTGTAGAGTGATACAGACAGCTGAGCCCCTCCCAATTTATTCAACTAAAAACTGTAGGGTTGATAATATAGGGCAAAATATAACTCCTAAAGTTATTTGTTTTTGGTGCAACAAACAACATTATTTAAGATCTTGCAGATATTTTATCCGAGATATCAAATCAAAAGCAAATGAGAAATTAAATTTGTTGATTGAAAATTTTGACAGAGAAAATACACGTGGAGATAAATCAATAAAGGCCTTTCCTTGTAAACTTATAATCAGACAAATAAAAGCAATTTTAGCTAAATCGAAATTAGGAGACAGACAAGCAATGCAGTGTAACACAGAAAGTTATAAGAATCAGATAACTTCACGAGACATGATCAGTTTAGGGAATGAGCATGGTTATGTGTGCCAACAGATGTACACAGGCTGATTCCAGAATTAAGAACAGCACAAGAATAGAGATCTATGTTAGTTTGTTGTTTTAAATGAATTGTTAGTCTGTACTGTTTTTTCATTGTTTTATGTGTGTTATAAGAAAGTATTAGGTTAATTAATTAAAATAAAAATACACATCAAGTTTGCAAATATGGCAGAATGAAATACACTAATGTAGCAGTTAGGAACATGCAATGTTATATTGGGTGTATGCGATTATACAGTAACTCCAATCATTTTACAGAAGGTAAAAACAATGTTGTTACTTCTGAGGTTGATTTAAAATCTTTGATTTAATTCATGAGAATGAGATTTTAATATCATGACTGATAATGGATTACTATATTTTGCAAAGCCTGGACATACATATGTTTTGATTATTTAGAAGACAAAAGTTTTGATAGAATAAAACCTAGATTTACAAATACATTTGATGAAGGAAACAATATATGTTTTTTGTAGTTTGTTTCATGTGACAAAATGGTGCCAGTGTTCAGACAAGATGGCTGCTATTGCTAAAGTATAGTGGAAAACAATATTTTGTTGTAACATCTTATATGTGATTAGGTTATACCTCCAGATTATTAAACAGTTTAAAAGGGGGGTATGATTAATAAAATGTTCAGAAAGATTTGAATATAAAGGAAATTTAAAGATTATACATCACATGGCATAAATGTAATGACCACTAGATGGTAGATCTCATGAGAAGAAATTAGTATGTTTTGTGTAGTCAATATAATTCAATGTTAAACTGTGTAATAATAATGAGATATAAACATTGTAAGCCATTGTATTGATGCTGCACATGTTATTTGTTTTAATGTAGGTAAAGCGTGACAGATCCTTGTGGCAATAAATCAGGAAAGCATTCCTTTAGACAACTGGACATCGACTGTTGGAAAGAGACTTTGATCTGATCTGCAAACTGTGATGGAAGATTCTACAGAGTTCATTCGATACAGAAGATTAACAGACTTACAAAGAAATAAAAGATTGACACTAACATACATATATATTCCTAAATATTAATGAAGAAAACAGACAATGAAAAGTTATTTAACAGTTATAAGTATTAATACCAAAAGAGAGTACTTATAACAATATAACACATGGAGTACAATTATGATAGGATAGTATTATGAAAATAACTATTACATTATTACCTATACATAGAATGAGAAGTATCAGACGTAGATAAAATATGAAGTTGATAAAATTACTTAATTCTACAAAGATTGAGTTCAATAGGATTTCATAGATAAATTATAATAAGTAATTTGTTTATATCGAGGTGAAGTAAAACAAACAATGGTAACATAAGGAAGAAAACTAAGGAAG